TGTGTGTGTCTGTGTGTGTATCTGTGTGTGAGTCTGTGTGTCTGTGTGTGCGTCTGTGTGTCTGTGTGTGCGTTTGTGTGTCTCTGTGTCTCTGTGTGTGTCTGTGTGTGTCTGTGTGTGTCTGTGTCTGTGTGTGTGTCTGTGTGTGTCTCTGTGTGTGTCTGTATGTGTCTCTGTGTGTGTGTGTCTGTGTGTATCTGTGTGTGTGTCTGTGTGTGTGTCTCTGTGTGTCTGTCTGTGTGTGTCTGTCTGTGTGTGTCTGTGTCTGTGTGTGCGTCTGTTTGTCTGTGTGTGTGTGTGTCTGTATGTCTGTGTATATGAAGAGTTGCCCACCCGGCATGGCTCAGTGGTCACGGTTCCATTCGATTCCCAGTCAGGGCAACTCTGTGTGTGTTAGGAGGTGGGGTGGGGGTTGCAGGTGAAGTCACAGTTGTCCCTCCAGAGTTCAATGAGCTCATGGTCTTAGTTTTTTATTTTTTAAGATGTATTTTTACTGATTTCAGAGAGGAAGGGAGAGGGAGAGAGAGAGAACATCAATGATGAGAGAGAATCATGGCTCCAGAGGAAGGCGGCCTGCTTCTCCCTTGTCATTTGGGCAGCTGCACTGAGCTGCTGCCTTAACACCAGAAGCAAGTGCTGCGGTCCCATCCTGGGTCCCTGCCTTTGCCCTCTGAGCACAAACCCCCCCAGCTGTCTGCGTCTCGGCCTTTTAAAACCCCCTCTGGCCCGGCTGGCGTAACTCAGTGGTTGAGCGTCGACCTGTACCAGGTCACGGTTCGATTCCCAGTCAGGGCTCATGCCCACGTTGTGGGCTCCATCCCCAGTGTGGGGCGTGCAGGAGGCAGCCGGTCCATGGTTCTCTCTCATCATTGATGTTTCTCTCTCCCTCTCCCTTCCTCTCTGAAACCAATAAAAATGTATTAAAAATATAGAGCCCCCTCTGCTATGGGCTTGCAGGGGCCCTGGAGGCCACACACGCCCCAGGGTACATACCGTCCACGTCTTCAGTTTCTCCCAGAACACTTTGAACTCATCGAACTCCAGCTTCCCGTTGCCACTGGTCTGTGCCGAGCGCGTGAAGGAAAACGCGAGTGTGTTTCCCCTGGGGCCCCTCGGGGGACCCCCCGCCTGAGGCTACAGTGGGGAGGGCAGTGGGCTGGCGTGGGGGACACAGATTCTCGGCTTTGAGGGAGGTGGTTTCTATCTCTCGCTCCCTCTCCCTTCCTCTCTGAAATCAATGAAAATATATTTTTTTAAAAAGACAGAAGACCGCCCTGCAGTTACGGGCCACCTTCTAGAAAGGTCTGCCCCATACAGAGACCTTAGCGTCTATTCTGCCCGCGCGCTGGGGAGGATACGTCCATTAGAGAAATGATGTTCTTACAGGAAATCAGGCTCAGCTTCTCGAATCGAATGCCCTTTTCTGAAATCACACAGAGAGCAGGACTCAGGCCACCCCCGGACAGTACGCCCGCTGCCGTCTCCCGGAGCCCGGCCGTGGGGTCAGCTCGGGGGCCGGGGCCGGGGTGACGGGCTCCCCCTCCGAGGAGGCTGCTGGGAGAGGTTGACATGGCCTTGCGGGAGGAACATTTGCAAAAGATGGAAAAAGCCTTCAAAATGGAACTATCCTTTCATCCATTGATTCTAGGTTTAAGAATCACAGGGAAAGTATTACCAATATAGACTTTTCTCATCGCCCTGGCTGGTGTGGCTCAGGGGATAGAGCGTCGGCCTGGGGACTGAAGGGTCCCGGGTTAGATTCCCGGTCAAGGGCACATGCCTGGGTGATGGGCTCGATCCCCAGTAGGGGGCGTGCAAGAGGCAGCTGATCCACGATTCTCTCTCTCTCATCATTGATGTTTCTCTCTCTCTCACTCTCCCTCTCTGAAATCAATATATATATAAAGATATTTCTCATCAGGTTCTTTACGGGGGAAAACGTTTAGAAACGAGGCACTAAGTTATGCCCACGTGACAGATTATTGCAGAGCAGCAGCCTGTGGCTCCGAGCAGCAGGGCCCGGAGCCGTTCAGGCCCCTCCTGGGAGCCAGGGCCCCGATGGGGGTAGGTGCGGGGAGCACTCACTCTTGCTCAGCACAGCATTTAACACAAACTCCAGCTCCTCTGCGGTCACCTCCATGTCCTGTGAGAGCGGAGACAGTGGCTTTTCACCCCTCCGCACCTGCTCTGTGAGTTTCTTCCCGCTCTGAGCTTGATTTGGCTCAAGGGACAGACGGGCACAGGAGCCTCACAGGCCCAGGTGCGCCTCCCCGTCCCTGCGGCCGCTCACTTCTCGGGGCTGCGACCCAACCCGGAAAGCCGGAGGGAACTGGGCCAGGCTGGGTGCTTCCCGGGCCCTGAGCTAGGCTCCCACGGCCGCTTATGCTGGAGACGTGTGGTCGGAGCCCCCTACCCTGCCCTGCACAGCAGCAGCAGCAGCACCCTGAGCTTTGAAATGCCCACACGGGGAGGGGGGGCACCGTTTCGATCAGGAGACCGGGGACAGGGACAGGGACAGCCCAGGGCCCCCAACAAGCAGGCTAAGTGACAGAGAGGGTGGGAATGGGGTCAAAGGGCAAAGGGACAGGCCCTCTTCTTCCCCCGGGCCCCAGGCAGAGCCCTGGTGCGAAGGGACAACATGCTGATAAGTGTTAGCAATTGAACCGTGGCCCCATCGCCGGTGGTGCAGGAGGGGCGGTGGGTGGGGAGGCCGTCTGAGGGGCTCCCAGGGACCAAGGCTGGTCTCACTGTGCCCCACAGGCCTGGGCACCACGCCTGGGCACCACGCCTGGGCATCACTCTGGGAAGTAGAGCTGACAAACGTCCCTGTTGCTGTATCCCTGGGTTGGGGGCATCACAGACACCCAGGCCCGGGCAGCCACAGCCACACCTCACCTCCCCGGCGACGCTTTCAAACAGGGCCCTGAACTGCTGCTCCTCCTCCGTCTCCTGGTCCCGCGGCGTCGGTTTCGGGGGCTGGAAACGAACCACAGGAGCCCGTGTTGGAGCCACACAAAGGACACTTGGCATTTGCTTTCCCATAGAAGCAGCAGGAGCCCGGCCAGTGTGGCTCAGTGGTTGAGTCTCAATCTAGGAACCAGGAGGTCGCGGTTCGATTCCCGGTCGGGGCACATGCCCGGGTGGCGGGCTCCATCCCCAGTGTGGGGCGTGCAGGAGGCAGCCAATCCATGATTCTCTCTCGTCATGGATGTTTCTCTGTCTCCCTCTCCCTCTCCCTTCCTCTCTGAAATCAATAAAAAATATATATATATTTTTAAAAAGGCAGAGCCCTATCCTCCAGGAGCTTAGGATCAATAGAGTCAATGCAATTCAGTGGTTTCTGTTGTGTTCTCAGAGGCGGGCAACCATCACCACAGTCTATTTTATTTTATTATTTTATCTTATTTTTAATATATATCTGTATGGATTTCAGAGAGGAAGGGAGAGGGAGAGAGAGAGAAACATCCATGACAAGAGAGAATCATGGATCGGCTGCCTCCTGCATGCCCCACACTGGGGATGGAGCCCGCAACCCAGGCATGAGCCCTGACCCCAGGAGCTCACGGTTCGATTCCCGTTCAGGGCACATGCCCTGTGTGGGGCGTGCAGGAGGCAGCAGATCCATGATTCTCTCTCGTCATTGATGTCTCTCTCTCTCTCTGTCTCCCTCTCCCTTCCTCTCTCTGAAATCAATAAAAAAGAGTATCACCGTAACCGGTTTGGCTCAGTGGATAGAGCGTCCGCCTGCGGACTGGGGGGTCCTGGGTTCCATTCCTGTCGAGGGCATGTGCCTTGGTTGTGGGCGCATCCCCAGTGGGGGGCGTGCAGGAGGCAGCTGATTGATATTTCTCTCTCATCGATGTTTCTAACTCTCTATCCCTCTCCCTTCCTCTATGTAAAAAATCAATAAAATATATTAAAACCATCACCACAGTCTATTTTATTTTATTATTTTATTTTATTTTTAATATATATCTGTATGGATTTCAGAGAGGAAGGGAGAGAGAGAGAGAAACATCCATGATGAGAGAGAATCATGGACTGGCTGCCTCCTGCACGCCCCACGCTGCGGATGGAGCCCACAACCCAGGCATGTGCCCTGACCGGAATCGAACCGTGACCTCCTCGTTCCTAGGTCCACACGGAACCACTGACCACAGGTAACCCTTCCCTGAACTTCGAGTTTTATGTGACGCTTTGCTGACAAGCACCGGCTCCAGGACAGCCACTGAGTCCCAGTCCCCACGGCGAGGCTCACCTCCGGAAGGTCGATGTCCACGTGTCCATCCAGGTCCCTGGGGAGGCAGGAAACACGTTTTAACGGCTTGTTTGAAGCGGGGCGGAGCAGAACTCAAACGGAACTGTTTCCTGCTTTTCGGATGGGTTAAGTACTCCCCTGGCCCGGCCGGCGTGGCTCAGTAGTTGAGCATCGACCTCTGAACCAGGAGCTCACGGTTCGATTCCCGTTCAGGGCACATGCCCTGTGTGGGGCGTGCAGGAGGCAGCAGATCCCTCTCGTCATTGTCTCTCTCTCTCTCTGTCTCCCTCTCCCTTCCTCTCTGAAATAAAAAAAGAACGCCCTCTGCCCGTTTCACGGGTGTGTCGTGGGAAAGGGGAGAATGGGGTTGTTCGAGGTCCCACGGTCGCCCGGGATTCTTGAGCCTGGGACTCACCGGCTGATGGTTTTCTTGTCTGAAAAGATCCTCAGGCAGAAATCGGCCTCCTGGTGCGGCTCGAAGGTGCTGGGGATGAGGATGTAGTCCCCGGGGGGCAGCTTGAACCGGTCGGAGACTTCCCGCAGGTTGATGAAGCTCTTGCTCCTGGCCTGGGAGGCGTGGTACCGGAAGAAGTCCTTGTCCAGATGGTCCTCCTTCCCGGGGCACTGCGGTAGGAGAGGCAAGGCTGCTGGTTTCCACTATGTGTTATTATTATTGTTATTATTTTTAATATATTTTATTGATTTTTTACAAAGAGGAAGGGAGAGGGGATAGAGAGTTAGAAACATCGATGAGAGAGAAACATCGATCAGCTGCCTCCTGCACACACCCCACTGGGGATGTGCCCGCAACCAAGGTACATGCCCTTGGCCGGAATCGAACCTGGGACTCTTCAGTCCTCAGTCCTCTATCCACTGAGCCAAACCGGTCAGGGCTTATTATTATTTTTTAATCCTCACCTGGGGATATTTTCCCATTGATTTCTTAGAGGGAGTGGAAGGGAGAGGGAAAGACAGAGAGAAAGAGCATTGATGTGAGAGAAACACATTGATGGGTGGCCTCCTTCACGAGCCCGGACCAGAGCCAGGGCCGGGGAGGAGCCTGCCACCGAGGTACGTGCCCTTGACCTGAATCGAACCCGGGACTCTTAGGTCCGCAGGCCGACGCTCTATCCACTGAGCCACACAAGCCAGGGCGGTTTTCACTCTTTGGACCCAGTTTGGGGCCTGGCCATTGCGTCTCAGGCCGAGGCCCGGGAGGAACGGAGAACCGAGAAGCCATACTGTGAACGCAGCCGCGGCGGCTCCCACCCACCTGGTAGATGGCGTAGCCGATGGTCAGCACGTTGGCGCCGAACCGCTTGAGTTTCCTGCGATCCTTCTGCATCAGGGCCACCAGCAGCGTGCACGCCTCCTGCCCGTCGTCCTTCTCGGTCAGGGACAGTCTGATCTGCGGGTTGGTCCAGAAGGTGTCTGCGTGGGGAAGAGGCGGATTGCTTTTCCTCCTTTATTTTTTATTATTGATTTTTTACAGAGAGGAAGGGAGAGGGATAGACAGTTAGAAACATCGATGAGCGAGGAACATCGATCAGCTGCCTCCTGCACACCCCCTACTAGGAATGTGCCAGCAGCCAAGGTATATGCCCTTGACCGGAATCGAACCTGGGACCCTTGAGTCTGCAGGCCGACACTCTATCCACTGAGCCAAACCAGTTAGGGCGCTTTTCCTCCTTTAAAAAACCATGAAGGACACACACGCACACGCACACCCATGCATGCACACACATACACATGCACACACCGCACACACACGAATGCGCACACATACACATGTATGCACACGCACACACATGCACACATGCACTCAGGCACACACATGCAGGACTGTGTGCGTTGTGTTTTCGGTCCCTCGTATTGGAAAACAACCCAGTGGTAGAACAAGGGCGCTTCCTCCAGCAGTTCCTGCCCAGCTTCCTGCCAGGTAGCCCCTGGCCCTCCTTCCCCAACCGTCCCTGAAGCCCTACAGTCTACGCACACGCGCACACATGCATGCACACACCGCGCGCACACATGAATGCACACACACATGTGTGCACACATGCACACGAACATGCACACACATGCATACGCACATGCACATGCACATGCAGGACTGTGTGCGTTGTGTTTTCTGTCCCTCGTATTGGAAAACAACCCGGTGGTAGAACAAGGGCGCTTCCCCCAGCAGTTCCTGCCCAGCTTTCTGCCAGCTGCCCCTCGCCCTCCTTCCCCAACCGTCCCTGAAGCCCTACAGTCTGACCCCACGGTTCAGGCTTCCTCCAGGGCCCTGGCCCTGATCCGCGACGTCCCCGGGTTGGACTGGGCACTCGGGGATGACGAGAGAGTGGCAGGCAGACTACAAACCCAGGAAGTTGCGGCAGCCGCCGGCCGTGGAGCCCCGCACCCAGCTGCCCTGGTGCACCGTCACCTCCCACTTGTGGGGCGCGTCCTCCTCCAGGGCGTCCGGCGTGAGGTTGCAGATCTCGACCTTGTCGAAGTGGGCCTTAAAGTCGCTAAAGGCCATCCTGCGACAGAGCGGGGGACACGGTGCGTGGGCGGAGGTGGTGATGACGCGACTCACCCATCCATCCATCCATCCATTCACTCATTCAATCATTCATTCTCTCGTTCATTCCTTTATTCATTCACTGGTTCATTCACTCACTTATTCACTCATTACTGGCTGCCTCTCGGGAGGGTGCCTGCCTCTCTCGATACTGGCTCGGTCTACGCTTTCAGATGCTCTCAGGGTAACTGCCTTCAGGCTCCCTGTCTTCAAGGTGGGCATGGGGGGAGGGGACCCCGTGAGCACCAGCCCACCGTCTTCAAATTCACCCCAAACTCCAGGCGGGCGCTCAGAGGAAGGGATGCTGGAGAGAGAGGCTCCACCCCACGCCCTCAGCATCCCCGTGACTCCCGGAGACAGGCTGAGCTCCCCCAAAACAGAACAGACTGAGCCGTCTGCCAACCTGGGTGCACATGGGGGTCGGGGTTGAGACAGAGGGACTGGATTTACCCACAATAAACAAACACACAAATGAAAGAAGGGGAAATAAGTAAATGAGTAAGTAAAGGGATAAATGGATACTCCAAAGACGGGGAAAGAAATGCCTAAGTAGGTGACGGTGTGCCCCTTGCCCCTGAGGCCAGCACAGAAATGGGGAGGAGGAGGCGCCGGTACCAGAACTCTCCGTCATCCAGGGCCGCGTGGCTCAGGCGCTGCTGCTCGGCGGGGCCCACAGCACGCCACTCGGGGGAGCTAGGAGCAAACACGGCTGCGTTAGATGGCGGGCCCCTCCCTCGGGAGCCGTGTGTGCCACGCGGAGGGGATGGACCCTGCTCAGGGAGAGCTCCCTGGGCC